ATCTGTAACTGTAGTTCGGGAAATGTAGTGCCCTGTTCTGACCAGCTCAGGCACCAGGCATGCACACTGGTGCACAGGCTTGTATACAGGCCAAACACCCAAACACATAAATAAAAATGTTTAAAGGAAAAAAAGTGGGATGCTAACAAAAACCAGACAAGTAGAACAAAATGGAAAGTCAGAAAAATTGCTGACAAGAGCACCAAGTGGGCACACTAAGAAAAAAATAGCGTCCACCCAGGGATTGTCCCAAGAAGTCTGGATTCCAATACCAAAGAATGAAACCGGACCTTTATTTTACACCAGACACCAAAATCAACTCACTGTGCAAGGCACACAAATGTGAGGCCTGTAACTAAACTAAGAGAAGCCCTGAACCATCGGCTTTGCCAGCGACTTTCAGAACACCACACCAGAAGGTACCATGCAAGCTTCCAAAGTCCTACACCGCTATGGAAGAACCGCGTCAACAACCCATATGCCATGACAACCCTAAAGCGCAACAGCAGCATGCGCACCTTGGCGGTAACCAACAGCTCTAACGACTGAAGATCTGCTCGACAAGAGGAAACCTGCCTGGGACTGGAAGCCTGGCTAACTCCTTAGTGCTAGTGATTACTGGAGGAGAATCTACAACCACTAATTTACTAAACCAGCATAATCCCTAACAACAATCCATAAATGTCTGTCCTTATACTCACAGATAAGTGTAGATTTTACCCCTCAAGGAAACATCTGCAACCGACCATTACAGAAAACCATTGCCAAATGCAGAGTTGTGGAGCCCAGTCCCAGTGGACACATCAACAAAACACTCCCACACCTAAGGCTCAGGGAACATTGCAGAAGAGGGAACAGGAAGATTGTAAGACCCAGAGGATCAGGGACTTTGCTGTGAGATTGTGTCTTCTAGTAATGTCAGAAGCTACACCCCCTAAAGTCTCACAAACATGACTGCCCAAATGTGAGCTGAACAAGGACAACACCAAGGGAAAAGCCCACAGGCCTCAACCCTACACAAAGAACTATAGGCAACTGAGGAAAGCTGGACGTCAGAGAGATGGTCTTTTCCATGAAAAAGCATAATAATTAGTTGTCTAGTGCCAAATGCTCAGCTCCTAAAAACATAAATACAGGTAGCATTATACAGACTGGGCAGGCTATATCTAGGAATATATATGGTATACTTATAACCATGCAATAACAATGAGAAAAGAGGCCATGAATTTGAAGGAGAGCAGGGAGGGATATATGGGAGGCTTTGCGGGAGAAAGGGAAATGGGGAAATGTTGTAATTCTCAAAAAAATTAAAATATCACACCATAAGTTTGTCCCACAAAAGCATAACATGAGTGAGAAGGACTTGATCTGCCACATTATACAACAGATGGCACCTGTGCACCCACAGATGCACACAGCCCTAGGTCACAAAGCCCTGGGGAGATGGCAGTTGTGCTGACAGGGACCTTTTCTCATCTTTGTTTTTGTATTACCTGGTACTTTGTATCTCCCCTCTCGTCCTCAGCACTCCTCTCCCCACTTCTCTGCTGCGCTGGTGTATTACCTGATACTTTGTATCCCCCCTCTCGTCCTCAGCACTCCTCTCTCCACTTCTCTGCCGCGCTGATGGATTACCTGATACTTTGTATCCCCCCTCTCGTCCTCAGCACTCCTCTCTCCACTTCTCTGCCGGGATAACACTAAACACTAGTCTCACTCTTTTCCTCCTCCCCCTCCTACCTGGTGCCCAAGGTACGATCAGTGCTCCTTTACTTCCTGAAATAGTGTTTAAGGGATGGTTCATTTTAATTTGGCTGTGACAGTATTTTCACAGCTGACCTACCCTTGACAGTGTTGATTGTTGCAGACGCTGTTGTCAGAGGAGTAGAGGGACCAGGCCAGGGACAGCAATCTAGCAGAAGAAAACAACACCTCACCCACATCCTTATCCCTCTAACACTGCAACACTTTCACTGAAAGAATAAAGGTGATGTAATG